TTTTTCCATTTTTTGGTTAAGGAATCTGCCTGAGAATTTTGGGACACATTTTAAAGGACACCCTGTATAATAACTTCATTGTATGTATATTTTTAAATTGTTTGGAATTTCGAATTACAAAACCAAGACTACGTGAAGCACACATAACTGTCTGCTCAATATGCCTTGCGAAAGCTAATTCCCTGTTAAAATGGACTCCCAGATCCTTTTTAAACCCCGGCCTACTTAACACAGTGCCATTGATCTGATAATCAAAGGTGAAATATGATTTTTTCCTATGTCATAACACTACATTTACCAGCATTCAAATGCAAATAATTTTTAATACACCATAGGGACCGTGCGTCATAACTATAACGCCAACTGGTGACAAAAATGTGCACTTTTTGGGGGAGATTTATTAATGTTTTATACGGCATTTATTGTTTAGTGATTATTAATTAAATAAAGTCGAATTATTTTCGTAATATCATTATCGAAAAAACTTGTTGCATCCGTGGATGTACAAATATATCGCTTTGGAAACCTGGATTTGATTCGGTAGTAAAGAAATTTTATAAATTTCCATAGAACACACTTCGTGTCTCACACCCAACGATATACATAATTACATAGATTGATTATCCATATGTAAATCAGACGACGAAAAGCGTATTTCACTAGGCAAAGTTTTCTTTTTATCTATCTTGTATCAATTTTGAGCACTTAGTTGTAAACAAATCATTTACAGAACCGGTTTATGAAATTAGAATCTTTACTGTTTTTTGTCATTAATATTTTTACATATTTAAATAAACATTTTATATAAATATAATTTTACAGATAATTAATGGTTTTATTCTGTTAATTGAAACTAATGTAGAATGTTACTGTGAAATTAGAATATCCAACTTGACAAACATATCATACAATTTGTTAACTATTTTTCATTTATCACTAAAATAAACAAATCATAATTAATACATTGCAATTACTGTCAAAAGAGATTGCAACAAATTTTAAAATATTAAAAATCCAGTGATTTTTTGTAAAATTTTTAGTAACATTACTATTAAACATTACTCAGAATAATAGATAAATGTCCAATTACAACTCTTACAAAAGTTGTTTATATCTCATATTAAAATTGTTTACATTACCTTTACAAAGTTGTATGGCATATTGCAATTATGTGTTTTATATAGTGTTATTTCTGAAATGAGAGTGGTCTAAAATTATTTACATTTATCCTTATAAAAATTGTTTAGATCTCTTAATATTATTTAACTACATGGAAACTCAACTCTCAAAATACATAATAACGTGTCTTAAGTAATTATTTTATTTTTCTAAATAATAAAACGCTGAAATTTGATTTTAAAACACATTTGGGCTAGCACGCTATATTTCGTGGGCACTAGGAAAGGCAATCTAGCACTTCACATTGCAACCCGCTTTTCCTAATCTTTTTTATAGATGAGTGAGAAATCTGTATAATTATGTATAGCATTGGGCGACTCATAAATGTCTAAGGTGGATGAATGACATTTCGACTAACAAAGCTTATTATTATTATTCTCAATCTTTTTTTATTAATTTACATTTTTAAAATGTTATTGTAATAATTTTAAATTCAGTGTTACTAAATACCGATATTTTGACATTGGATACACTTGCTTGAGGTACAACTTTACAATTTATTGTCACTTAATTATTTAAATCTTTTTGCTCAAAATGTATATACATGTACAGATTTTAATAATTTTTCTTTTTATATAATTTTGACCATGTACACGATTGTTTGTTAGCGGCCGGTATCTATTATTAACTATATTTAATATTTTAAAAAATATCCTTTATTTTTTACTTGCAATGTTTACCCCATTTAATTCTAAAATTGAACACTAGAGAGGGCTAACTTCGGCAGTAGTGCTGCCTCTATATTTCACGCACGGTCCCTATAGCAATAATTCAGCTAAACAACTTTGTAAAGCTGTGCAATCAACAAAGTTCCGTATTTCAGAAAAAAAATTTAAATCATCAGCATACATTAAGTTTTTTACTTCTGTGCTTTTGCCAATAATGTCATCAATAAAAACTATAAAAAGAAGGGGCCCAAGAACCGAACCCTGCGGTACACCTGGAATTTGCTTAAAATAGTTTGATATAAATCCTTGGTGTTGCACGTACTGACGTCTACTTTCTAATTAAGAAGCGATAAGTAAAAGAAGAAGGTCAGATAGTCCCTTAGACTTTAATTTTTGTAATAGAATTTGATGAATAATTCTATCAATTGCCTTAGAAAAGTCGGTATAGATATCATCGACCTGACTTCTTCTATCTAAAGCCTCTGCCAAAAATTGTGTTTTGCACACAAGATTCGACACAGTGGACCTACCTTTCATAAATCCTTGTTGGTATTGCGATAATGAACCCGAAAGATGTCTAGATAAGTATGTATGAATAATAATTTCAAATACTTTGGAGAAATTACAAAGTATGCTAACAGGTCTATAGTTGTCAAGATCATCTTTGGTTTTTTTTATAAACTGGTGTAACGCGAGATAATTTCCATATATCAGGAAACATGGCTGTTTTCAATATTAAATTAAAAATAGTACACAGTGGGGTTGAAAGAATGTGTGCGTAATCTTTAATGAAGAAGGAAGGAATATAATCAGGTCCCATTGTCATTTTTTGGCTTTAATCTTTTTATAGCGTCTACCACTTCTTTATCAGATACATGATTTATAGATAAAATAGGTAAATTAACAGAAGTTGATTGAATAGATGCAATAGATGTAGATAATAAAAAATGCTCTGCAAATGGCTGCACAATATTTAATGGATTATCCAATACATTATTATAAATTTGTACTAGAGATGGAAAGCTTGAGGAGTTCTTAAACGAGTTTACGTATGCCCAAAATTTCTTTTTTGGAACATGTCGTGAAAATAATTCATATAGTTTTTTTTACACCGTCATTTACATCAGTTATATTATTTAAAAACTTCCAATCGATAGATTGGAGGTCAAAGTAGAGAGTCGCGTAATTGACTTTTTTAAAATTAAATTCTACTGAAGAAGAATTATTAGTTACATTATTTTTTTATATTGTGATATATTTAAGTAAGAGATGAAAATAATGACGGAAAACAAAAAGAAATGGAAAAAATTTGTTGAAACAAGTGAAAACCGACACTCGAAAGGGTAAAAAACATATTTGAGAAAGAAGAATAACGACACAACTATTTTAAGGCTGTATGTCACGATACTGAATTAAGTACTAAATTTAGAACTAAATTAATGCATTTTTTAAGTACTAAAAAAATTCACGTTGCAAACAGCTAATTTAGTACTAAATTTAGTACTAAAAAAAGTCATTAATTAATTAGATCTTGTTCTATTTTCTACTAAATTTAGTACTAAAAGTGCGCCGAAATGTTGCGCAGAAGTTTTTCATAGAAAAAGTTGACACGACGGTATTTTCTGTACCCTTTTATTTTTAATTAGCGACAATTTCACATTATCGCCTTGAATAAAGTTCGCCTGTTTGATTTTGTAGGTTTTATTGTGTTTTTCCGTGGTTTTGGTTGTCAAGTCAACTAGTATCAAATTGATAATAAAAACACCATTTACTTCACTTGTCTGTTTTACACAGAATATTTCATTTCTCTGCTAATTTCACGTATTAATACGTCAATGCGCGTGCGCCCATAGTAAATTTAGTACTTAAAATTGGTATCGTTGCAAACGGAAAAAAAATATTTTTAGTTCTAAATTTAGTACTAAATTAATGACTTAATTTAGTGCTAAATTTAGTACTTAATTTAGTATCGTGACATACAGCCTTTATAGTTGTGTGTGTATAAAATGATTCTTCCCATATCATGCAACCTCCCACCTGGAGCGATCCTAATTTATGCATTATGTTTTTTATATCGTGTGTGAGATTTGCAAGGGTTATAAAAAAATTTAATTTGAAGGGCAATACACCTTTCAATGCGCCCCACGGCCTGGGGGAATAATAAATAAGGAGTGTAGCGGAATTGGAATTCTTCGGGGTGTTTCAACGGTTTCGCGATGAGAAATTGGGATTTATTCTTGTCACACAACTCGCGTCAATGTTAAGAACGCCCTCGGGACGATTTCTAAGAGACGGTTCGTACTTCAACTGCTTGATGATCTAGAGGTAACTCGTAAAGCGTAATTGCAACTATTTTGTCAATTAACTGATTGTGATGTTGATTTACTATAAGACAAAAAATAAATGGTTGAACTGATGATGATTTTTAGAATCGAAACGTTGTGAAAGGATAGAGTGGCAGGTAATAATAATCGGTATAAAAATCAGGTCATTATTTAAAAAAAAAATGAGTGAAAAAACATTCTTACCATTCGTTAGTTTTAACCTAAATCTATATATAAAGATTCATATATAAAGATTTATATATAAATATCTATATATAAAAATCTATATATAAAAATGTATATATAAAAACTATATTTTAAAATCTATATAAAAAATCTATGTACAAAAATCTATACAACAATCTATAAAATCTAGCTATAAAATCTGCAATCTACATATAAAAATCTATATATAAAAATCTATTTATAAAATCTATAAATAAAAATTTATAAATAAAAATTCATACATAAAAATCTATGTACAAAAATTTTTATATAAAAATCTATATAAAAATCTATACATAAAAATCTATGTATAAACATCTATCTATAATATCTACACAAAAAATCTATACATAAAAATCTATAGATAAAAATCTATACATAAAAATCTAGAAAATTTTGTGTTATGCAGCAATAACTCTTAACAAAGTGTACATATACATATATATATTCTTCGCCAGATTTAACCCATATACAAATAAAAATAAAAAAATTTCAGTACTTTTATTAAAACTTTATATTTTCACAAAATGAATTTCAAAGATAATAATTAAAATTTTACTTCACTCTATGTTAGTAAAAATTCATATTATACACAAAACATCATTCACAATTCTGAAATCAATTGAAAGGAGACAGCAATATTGGCAGCTTGTCCGTTAAGAAACGGCACATCACTAGCTAAATACAGTCCAGAAATACAATGTTGTCCGAGTTCAAAATCACGAAATTCCTCCTGAGATCCTTTAGACCCGCACGTAATTATCCTTCCATCGGAAAACCCAAATTCAAGGCAATCTATAGCACCAACACCCCAAGCAGTTAATTTCACCAACAAAGCATTATCAAAGAAAAAACTTTTGGCTTCACGGGTTGCAGTTCCCAAATTGTACACGTTGCCGTTTTGAAAATGAACAGTCATCCCTCCAATTTTTGGAAGCGATCTAGAGTTATTCCTCCAAAGCCACACATCAACTCCAATCATTTTATTTCTTACACCTCTAATAGATTGAGGTTGAAGTGGTTCAACTACCTCTTCTTGGACCATTTGTTTGTATAACAGTGGACTTGGTCTTCCAAAATATGTAGAATATATTATGACGTTATTGTAAGCTTTCTTTTTCCAAAAAGGGTTTGTAAGAATTCCATTCCAGTAAGGAATGAACTGTAGTCCTGCAAGGCCGCAGTAAGTTTGGACTGTAGCGATGGAATCGTAAGCAAGCTGTGGTTCGCAGTTGTTGTATTCATTGTTAATTGCTTTGGTAGCAACGCGGTTGATATAAGTAATAGCTCCGTCTAATCTATCTTCAATGAGCTGTTTTGATAGTAGCAGAAGTCTCCGAACTTGCTCGTCATTTAAACCAATCTTAATCCTATTTAGTATCCCAAATTGGTACAAACACATCTTCAAGCTCACCATTGAGGAATAATAAGCCAATGAAATGTAGTTATGGTAGTCAGCGTTGGTTGCTTCCTTGCTGATGACAAATTTCTTTTCGAAACCAAGCAAATCTTCCATCAGTTGCATGAATTGGTAAGGGAAACTCGCACCTACAGAAGCTTCTTTGTGTTCAAGTAACGCATTCAAATTGATCAACTTTGTTCTCAACTGTCTTATATCCAATTTAATTTTCGTATGTATCTGAATTGATTCATCTATAATAGTGCCCCAAATTATTCCTTTTTGTGGGAAAAAGAAATCCAGTATGGGATCTAATTTATCTGAAATTAATGGGATATTTGCAGGACTGAATTTGATGATGTTATTCGATATCATATTGACGTCAAGTTTAATAGGATGTTTAGGTCTTTTATCCCAATCAGATGCATCGTCTCTTCCTACATGTACTAAAGCTCTTAAAGATTGTTCATTGTAAATCTTAACTGTGGTTAGAAAGTAAAGATTTTTGGTCATATCTAGTATTGTCGCCTCGCCAGGCTGCACGAGAACTGGTTGTACTGCAGTTCCGTGCCAACCAAGAGCAGTACCGAATATTACTTCCGCTTTGATAGGAACGCGACCGATGTTTAAGACATGGTAGTTTCTGTGGTATAGAGGTATTACCTTGGTGTCTTGTGAAGCTGTCAAAGAGTTATCTTTGGCAGGTATTTCGAATACGTTTGAGCAGTATTTGGACATTCCGTTTTTTCTGAAATGAAAATGTTTATAGATTAGATGAATTGTTAAATCCAATCGTTTAAGTAGAATGGTAAATAGTTCTGTCATTTAATAGTAAAATGTAAATCATATTTAGAATGTTTGTATAAATTTGTATACATTTATTTTGATTATTCCATTACTGCATTGTCAACAATAAACAATAACAACACATATGATATTAAATAATTAATTAGTTATATATTCTAAATATTATTATCTACAGCCTTTAAACTAGGGAAATTATTGTTAACATAAATTATCTTGCCGTAGCAAACTACGTAAATTATTGGTTATCTTCATGGAAACGTAATTGTTGAGATTAAAAATTTCTGCATGGATATAATACCACAAATAGATCTACTATTTAAATGATATCAAAAACAGAACTTTCCTACCAGGCATTGAGACGAAATAAAATGAAGAACATTCCTATAAGTTAATTTAATAGCAAAGAAGATTATAATGCAAAGAGAGTGTCTACAGAGCCGGCGTTAGCGGTCTCGCCGCTTCGGGCAGAAAAGGCTAAATGCCGCCCCCTCCCACCCTTAGTAGTAAAATAAAACGTGAGCAAAAGTATTGGTATTAAAAATGTTCAAGTTTTGATTATGCAAAAAATAATCTTGATTTATGATTTTGGCACTAAATTAAAATTAAGGTAACACAGAAAAAACAAAAGACAAATCTAATATATAATTATAAAATGGCATATACAAGGTGATTCATTAAGGGTTGCGACCGGCCGTATCACAGATTATCTTGAAGTAGATTTTATTTGAAAGAAACACAAAAACGGGTCGTTTTTGATTTCAAGGGGGACAAGATATCGGCGATGAGGGGTCGCGTGTAGAAGTTTGGAGGTTAGTAAAAACTATATTGGGAAAGTGTTTTTCAGTGTTAATAACAAGTTAGTGTTTATCCAAAAAAGTTTGTTTGTCGTTGGACGGGCTAGTAAACTATATATTTGAACAAACCAACAAAAATTAGACGAAACTGCAATAGAAGGCATTATGAACAAGGTATGTCAGAAATTTATGAACAAAATAGAAGAAAACCTTGATAAAAAATTTGAAAAAAATTGAAAACCGATTGATAAAGTTTAAAGAAAATCTTAAAAAAATTGATGATGCCGTTAAATCACATGAAACAGAACAACTGAGAATAATAAATAAAATAGATTAAATGGAACAACGTCAAAAAAGAAACTGCTTGAGATTCGATGGCATAAATGAAGTGAATGATACAAATCTGATGGACGATATCATGAATTTAATAAGTACTTTACTTTAATAAGCACTTAAAACTAAGTGCACTGTAGTTGATATAAATGATATGTATAGACTGGAATGGAATGGAAAACCTAAAACTGTTTCTGTGGATTTTGGTACGTTCATCAAAAAGAACGAAGTATTGAATGCGAGAAAATTACTAAGAGGTTCAAGAATTTTTATTAATGAGGATCTGATTGGAAGGCGATTCAAATTATATAAGTTTTCCAGGCATGCGCATATTTCAAAAAATACATGGACATGGGGAGGACGCGTCTATATTAATACGATAATGAAATCAAGATTGTCAAAACTGAGGCCGATTTAACCTAAGTATTGGCAGTAGGCCCACAGACTATTTATTACTTCAAATATTTAAATTTATATTTATTGTATACTCGATAAATATGAGCCGCTTTATCTTTCATTGAATTTACGATTTTAGGTTTTTCTTAAAGTAGAAAAATAAATATTTCTATAATATCCTCAACTGGCATGTCATTCCTCTTCTCTACGTCAATCTAACCAATAAAATTTAAATAGGGACAGTACCAAGTATGACACATCGTCGGAAAGGTAATAAATTTTATGGGGAATTCAGCAATATGACAATTCATTGCGTTCCTTTTAATTTTAGCGCTTTCTAGCGGGATAAAAAATTATAACCTATGGAAAAGTGTGACACATATCCTATACGTTCATATGAACTTTTCTTTTAAAAATTGACCCAAAAATCACCCCCTTAAAAATTGTCATTTAAGTAGAAAATTATCAAAATCGATCAAAGCTTACTATTTTTATGCTCACAAGTTCTTTTCATTAAAAAAAAATTCATGCCAAACACTTTGGATGTAGGTAAATTGGGTTAAAGGTTAAATCATCTTATTTTTATCCCAGTATAGTTAAGCTATGTCCCAACATTTTATTATATTAAAAAACGATTGGGCTCTTTTTCCCTAGTTCGGTACTTATTTAAATTGCACAATTATTATCTAGTTACTCATAAATTATCAAAAATTCTAAAAAAACGTTTTATTTTTAAAATTCTTAGTTTTCTCATTAAAATATGATACAACAGCATATTTGATTTTATTTCAAGTTAATTAACTGTAAAATGTACAAAGAATAAACTTAACAAGATTCTGTGTTCGAAAATTCTATATTTTAGAGAGTTATAGCTCGATAATAAAAATGTTCACGAGAAAATTTAATTTACAAAGAAATAAAATTCGTGTCTTTACCTGTATGTTTTCACTGAAGAACAATTTAATTAAAAATTTCGAAGCAAACTGATAATAATTTGGTACCAATTTCGTTTTCGTTATAATAAACTTTAGTGTTTCCTGTTTCTAAAGGACATGGATAAGAATTTATCTCCAGACAAATTGGATGTCCTTGTTCTTATTTAATGAGTAAAAAGGTATATAAGTCAGGAAATAAAACGAAAATTTTCCCTTTGGAAATTCCAATTATGTTTAATCAGGTACGGCTCTAGATGAAATTGTCAAAACTATATAATATATTAGAAAGTTAGTTACCTGTCAAATCAAACTCAAATAGTTGAAATAGATGTATGGCAAAGTTCGCTAAAATAAATAATTTATGGAATTCCACAATGCAAGGTATTAGGTCTAGTTTTATTTATATTATACTTACATAAGCTACAGCGCGATTTGTTGAAGCAAGTAGTTGGATTAAAGTGTCGAAAATAAACTTAAAAAAGACCTACAAAATATTGTCCATTAGTGGGATGAAAAATTTAGAAAAAACAGTATTCTGACCTTTCTCAGATTTTAAAACAAAATTTCCTCAAAATAACTCAATTCATATATCCTAAATCTTCTTGGTCTCTGAACAAAACCTCTCTTGTCAAATACTTGAGCGTGACGTTAGACAATTGTCTAAAATGGGATCCCTAAATACAAGACATGGTTAAACAGTTAACATCTCTTTTGTACATGTTCAAAATACTCTCAAAAATATTGAAAGAACACTAAATAATCAGCAGTTACTATACACTAGTTCAGTCAATAATAACATACAGAATAATCGGATATGGAATTACTTTAAAATTCCTCCAAAAAAGAATAAATAAAGTTAATTTTGAAATTAGATTGGTACTACCCAACTAAAAAACTATTCAATAATCTTAAAACCTTAAAAATAACAGATCCTTATTCAACTAATTAAAACCAACAAACACAATACCAGATATGTCTATATAATCATTACCCAAATGTTAATAGTAATTTGTGTAACAAGAGTGGATATGTACAATCCACTCGAGTTGTATAGTATATTTTTTTACGGTCCAGATTTGAACCCGTGCGTCTCAAAAACTCAAAAACTACTTCGACAAAATATCAACTAAAATTTGGGGTTTGTAAAAAAAATCAAAATATTGTAGTAAAGAGGTTTTTATAAACTAACCCAAGAACTTTTGGTTGAATATCTACAATTCATTATGGTTTAAACTATGCTCAAGTGATATCTTTAGGATACAAGTAATGCCAAAATAATAGACTTTAAATAAAAGGACAGGCAGATCCTCTATATTATTTATATGTATATCAATGATTTGGACAAGATCTTAATAAATGTAAAATCCATCTTTTTGCAGATGATTAATTAATTTACTATTATGGTGAGAATTTTAATGAATTTGTAAATAATGAATCAAAATACATATTCATAAGAAGATAACAATATGTTCCATAAGCAGTTTATGAATCTAAAGTTAACTGTTAAAATAAATAGATTAGGTAAATGAAATATTTAGGGTTTATATTACACGTCCTTCTGCTCCTTGGATCACATACACTATTAAGAAAATGATGTCTCTTAGAGACAGAGCATTAGCAAGGTTTAAGAGAACCGGTGTTCAGGGTCATTGGGAATATTACAAACAGTTAAGAAATGAAACTAAGAATGCAATACAAAGAGAAAAAAAGGCTTATTTAGAATTTAAGTTAAGAAACTGCGGAAATCAAAAAAACATTCTGGAAGGTGCTACCTACTTTCTGTGCCTAAGCACCTGAGGTGGGATTTATGTCAATCCAAAGTTAGATGCCGACTAACTACAGTGAAGAAGGGGTGAGTCGTAGAAAAAGTGATGTTTGTGAGTGGGCGCCAGGAGTTTAACCTCACATCCAACAATCCATGTGACAGTTCACTACCAAACTTCAAATAGGAAACTATAGCATCTCCTCTACAAGGCCATCAAGCGGCTACAAATTGAGTATGCTCCTAATATATTAAAGTATATTTTACCATAAAAATAAATGCTGACAGTTAGCAAGTGGGGATAAATAATAAGTTCAATATATACCCAAGTTTAATAATATAAATATAAATCGTGTTGACATGGGGGGTCAACTTCGTTCACACTATGAAATATACTAATATTTACCAAATTAATAACAATTAAATCACTTAGTACATTACTAACAGATTCCCCAACTATTAACAGTAATCCAGTATCACTGGGAGTAATATTTACAACTAAAACGCTATATTAGACTAAAAAAAATCATTAATTGGGACTAGGGGTAATCGTAAAACTATAACACATGAGGTGTGTACTGTATTTAACAAATAATAAGTAATAGGGTACTATTTACGTACGCTAGGGGTAAAAAAATGTAAAACTCCGTTACTTATTAAAAATATTAACTACCCATAAGTTATATACTCTACGAAGAGCTCTTGGTGACGTGTTTCAGGTTTAAATAAAAATGTACTGTAAACTATACACCCCTAAACCTCGTTTACATTAGGCTTAGATTAAAATACGTACTAATAACACCCCCCAATAAAATAGATTAAATAGTAATAAGTAATATAAAAATAAGATATCAAAAATTTGCGGTACACAGTGACTTCTTTCCAATAGACGTTGATGTCTCTGCTTCATTAGCAGCATACGAATCAATCAGCTGGTCACAAGATGTGCTAGTCAGCCCGTCACAAAAATACTGGCCCGTCACAAGAAGTGTTGGCCCTTCACAAGGACTACTGGCCCGTAACAAGAAGTGTTGGCTTTCACAAGTATTGATAGCCCGTCACAAGAAGTATCAGCCCGTCACAAGAATTGATAGGCCGTCACAAGAAGTGTGTGCCCGTCACAAGAACCCTAAAGAAAACGTATAAGATAAAACACAGTAATAACTATTCATCCCTGGTTAATAAGAAGTTAAAATTAAATAACCAGGTATCTACATAGCATTCTCGTGAAGCGAGGTCCAGAAATAGGTAAAAACTACTCAACGTTTACTAGTTAATTAAAGTTCGGCTTATCAATTTATGTAGATACTCTTCAGAGTTACAAAGTAACAGGATAGACGGCCCGTGAAGCAAGTTTTACCCAACAATTACACTTAATAAGCAAATTACACCCTTAGATTTCAAGATACTACTCCTAATAGTCAATCCCATATACTGAAAATATATACAGCGAAAAGAACATAACCTAGGGTTAGGTCTAAATAAGCATTCTAACTAAAATCAAAGCATATTTACCTCTCTTGTACAGCTAAAAAGAGGGACAAAACTATGCACCAGATCAGCTTGAACGGCAAATTCGTGAACGGCTTATTCAGAAAGACTACATATATATGTGGGCACTGCAATAAAAGACGAAGGCCCTTACAATAAGAATAACTACGTCGTAACTTAAAATACTGTGTAGAAAAAACTTACCAATGAGATTCAACACGTGGTTAAATATATCCTCCTAAGAGCTCCTACAACATGTGATCACCAAAAAATACTACCAAATCCACACTGTTGTAACTTAAAACAAAAAGGTTGCTTCGTAATATCCCAAATGGATTGAAACGACTTCCAATAAATTTCGAAAACAGTACCTTTCAAATTCACGTGCCGAATCTGAACCTCGAAAATTTCCAGAAGGCGGAAACCGACGTCACTTCAAAAAAACAGTAATACCAACATACCTCAGTGACAGATAGGTGTCCCATCAGCGCCCTCTATTACGAAATAAATTCTTGACAGAGAGGGCTAAAATAAGTAAACAAAGCCTCTAAAACGAAATAAATAGCCTAACTAAACTCAAATAGAGGTCATATCTACCCCAAACTGATCATATACCCACAATTAACGTCAGAGCGGAAACGCTAGACTGACATCTTGAATACAGGGCAGCCACATGCTCACCCAGAGTGCCGCAGAAGGACCTCTCTGTTCGAATATCGATCCCAAAAGCACAGTGGTTAAAATGCGGGTATAGAAAGACCCATTAAATAATTACTGAACAGGGATAAAAACTAGCTTATTCCAATTTTTATGAAAAACCGCTATAAGGCCAAATTTAAACGTTACAAAGGAATTACGTAATTTAGATATTTACTTGCCAATAGAACTAAAAAATCCAAAAGAAATTAACGAGTATTTTGTAAATGCATCGAAATCTGATTTTCCTGTGAATAATTTAACAGTCGACTATTATAAAAATAATATATTGCCTATTATTATTTCTTTTAATTTTTCAATAACGAACGAACTAGAAATCTATAGAACTATATGGTTATCTTTATTTCCACTAAGAAGGACGTGAAGCATAATTCCTGATCAAAGAGTGTCAATACTGATTAAATTCCTATACTGGGGTACTATACATCTGTCTAAAACCATATTTCCATAGTGAATAGTAGGTAAGTATTTTTTTTTGAATTGGTATTAGACTTTTGTGTTTTTGCCACAGAAAAATTAAAAGTTGTCGTTGCCTAGGTTTTCAATATTCTTCTGTTTAATGTTTAGACATTGAACTAAAAGTAACTCAACTTATTAAATTGTGAATGATATAATCTCTGTGGTATACAAACTTCTATACTCTTTTTCATATCATACAAATATCCGTCAGACGTACAATATTAGCCGACCGTTCTAACAGACGATTTCGCTTTGATCAATGCCTCTGGAAGGTCCGCTGCCCTTCGACTCAGTACATAAACCTTTTCTGGTTCCCGCCCAATCCCTTTACTCCTTTGCAATTACATTGGATTAATTACATACTCAAAATAAACTACATGCTAATCTCGACCGCTGTCGTTTACGGAAAACGTACGTGCTCGGAAAATTTATCGTCTGTATATTTCATTTTCCAGTTGACATTTGTCCCGGAATCCTTGCTGAAGCTCAATTTCTAGTCTGAAAAATGATTCACCGCTAAAATTTCCCTTAAATATTTGTTATAATTGTTACACTTTGTATATATTCATGATATAAAAACTTTTAAATAGTCGAGAGATTATAAAAATAAAATACTTTTGTAATGATTTCAGTATAACATAACTTTTGTTTTTATGATTTTATTCAATTACATCACTAAGAATGCATTTTTCCATTGATATAAAGTTAGTAACAAACAAGGTTATCAATTATTGTGATATATAACAAAAAGTATATATAAGAAACTTCTTTAGTCTTGAACAGCAGATTTCTTGTACCGTGCCATATACATTTTGCAAAATGAAGATTATTTTAATTATTGCATCTTTTTTGGTTTTGACGGCATATGTAAGTTATCTCAAATTTTTATACCTATTTATAATAATTTAAGCATTCGAAAAATCACAAGTGATAATATTACTTCTTTGATAATAGTGTATTTATTTTTTTTTTAATTTTCCTACGACCTTTCTTCTGCTTCAATTTGATATTTCTTTAATTCGAGGTTCTCCTCTAAATTTATTTTTTCATGGATAGCTTATTATTTACAGTTATGAAATTTTGTTGATTTAAGATTTGACTACAAAGTTTTCATGTTATATTTCTCAATTTGGACACTCTGAAGGTTATTTTTGCTCTCTTGCTTTACATTTCCTAGCAACACTGTTATTTGTTGTTTTTCCTTCCATATCGTCCTTAACATTGTTCCTTTTCCACCTTCGCTTTCTTATTCTATATCTTTTTGTAAACGTTTTGAAAAACTAACGTTTGTTGTAGTCTATTTAATGACCATTTAATTGATCCTTATTTTTACGCAAGAACGAGAGGACGTTTTTCTCGCTCGAGAGAGCCTTTCTCTCGTCTCGCCTCGTCTCGTTTCTCTCGTGATAAAAACATATATCAAATTTAAAATTAGAAAAGATTTACCAAGGACAAAACATTTTGAATACAAAAACAACGAATTATTTTTCAGGTAATTTGTCTTATTAGTGCCAAAATTGGCAATAAGAAACACTTATGGAATCGCTTATTGTCTGTCCGTCTGTCACAGTCGTTTTATTCGGAGAGTATTTGACGTGAAATTTACAGTTATGTGGCCCAAATTAGGCGTTACCTGAATAAGTAAATATACTAAGTGACATAGAAAACAGAACACCAAGTATTAATGAATTTATTACAAAGAATTTCTAGGAATATGTTTGTTTAAGTTAGAATAAAAAACGATCAGTTTTTCAGCCATATCGATAGAGTGGTTTTTGTGTTCTCACAAAAAAGTAAGACGCGATAATTGTGTTTTGTAGCTACAATTCGCATTTGATTCGTACAATACTTTGTGAAGAGCTTTTTTGATTTGTTTATCATACCTAGAGTGAGAAGACGAGAAATTTTTCTACAGCTTAGCGAGTTTGATAGGGGGCGAATAGTGGGCTTACGCGAGGCTGGTTTGTCCTTCAGAGAAATAGCCACGAGGATGCACAGAAGTGTAAATACGGTGGTGGTTTGTTGTCGGACGCTCCCCAACCCACTTTTCCAACAAGATAATGCACGACCACATGTAGCCAGAATTACGTTGGCCCATTTTGAAGAAAATCAAGTCGATTTGTTGCCTTGGCCCCCTAGATCTCCCGATCTTTCACCCATAGAACACGTCTGGGACATTATGGGAAGAAGATTACTCCATTTACCCCATCCTCCTCAGACTCTAGCGGCACTTCAGCATGAGGTACAAGTTGCCTGGGATGAGATACCTCAAGAGGAAATCGACCATCTTATTAGGAGTATGCCCCGACGTGTTTCTGAGTGCATAAGACATCGTGGAGGACCAACACACTATTAATTTTTTACTTTTTTCCAACGGTTGGATTTTTCTTACATTTTGATCAATTACTTAACTAACCCAAAGACACATGTATACTAAAAATTATTGTAATAAATTCATTAATACTGGGTATTCTATTTTCTATGTCACTTGGTATACTTTGTCTCGGAAGTCAGTTTGGGGGGGGGGACAGGTTAAATTGGAAGTTAGAATTTTTGTGATGCCATCGTGTGATTTCAAACGAAAAAGTTATTTGAAGAATGCTTCTAAAAACAACACGTTTTCGAAAAAAAGATAAAAAATTGCTGTATTTCCAACTTATCTCCAAGAGTATCCGCAAAAAAATCTGACTGAACGAAAATTATCACGATTGCTGTCTGTTGAATAGTTTTCCATACAAAGAAAGAATTTGTACTGATACTTTATATCAGCGCCTGCCAGCTAAATCTATCAAGATACCTATCAACTCTAATTAATTTAAAACATATACGGTACGACACACTATTGCGCTATTTCATTTGGTAAAACTTTTTTATTTACTTTTAAAACTTAATAATGACTTGTTTGCCTGTTACCTGGAATAAAATTCGCGATATAAAAAAGTTCTTGTAGTTGTACAAAATAAAACCTGACACAAAAGTTTGTCCCAAAAACCCAAAAAGTTTTATACAAATGTAAAAAAATTTATCTTACATTTCACAAAATAAAATCTTGTTAAGTACTGCAACACCTCCAAAATTATAATCAAGTCTCAAATTTAATAAAAATTCACAAATTTCTAATAAGTACACACTTGTCATTGATTACTGAATAGGGTAAATTAAAATCATTTAAAAATAAGTGCAATTTATTTGAATCATGAATGGTTAATTTGTGGTTAAATTTTATGAGAAAATATTTGATTATAGGTTTTTCGTTTAAATAAATTTTTCATCTTTTTTTTTTATTTCTATCAAAATTTTCAATTAATATTTTGGTTTATATTGAAATTTAAAAGTGCTTTATTAGGTATTATTATTTTTAAATTTTCCTTTATACCATGTACCGTTTTATAAATTTGAGACTTGAATATGGTTTTGTAAGTGATTCAGAACTTTTTATCAAGAATATTTTTTGTCAAATGTAAAATACATTTTTTCTCATTTGAATAAAACTTTTTTAAATACACTTGTAATACTTCACTGTATATTGTATACAGAGTGGCTCAAAAGTCTGGAAACGGCCAATTATCTCGTAAATTGCTAGTCCTAATTGTACAAAATTTGGGGTACATCTATTTTGAGATACGGTGATTTGATATTTGCAATGTTGCCAGATTTGCCGTTTTTCTTAAATTAATAATCACTTTGGTTTTTCAAATTCATCACCCTGTATATTCAGTCATTATTGGAATCTCCTATTCAATACGAGTTCAACCAAATGCAACACTTATGATTTGATGTAGTTAAAATACATCCCCGTTGAAAAAAAAACCAATTTTTCAGTTATTTATTAGCAAGTTGGAAAATAAAAACTTTAATTAATTATCGAAAAAAAATTTATATATATTTTTAAAGATCCGTTTTTTATTATCAGAAGCTGCTTGGAAATAATTTTATGCAATTTTTATCTTCTAGTCATAAAAATTATTCCAAGAACTATGTAAACAATATTTTTCGTAATCGGTGAAAATGAATATAACCGTTTTCGTTTAAAAATCCCAATTACACACATATTATTTGTTACCGTTTAATATGTATATTGAATACGTGTGTTATAGTTAACTTTTTAATTTTCTGAATATCTGATAGGTTTAAATTTTAAGTTGCGATAAACAATTGAAAATTTCAAATAAGCAAAAAGTAAAATGTTCGAGAGAGCTCGAGAGAAGCGAGAAATTCTCGTCGAGAGAAGACACCCTCTCGTCTCGTCTCGAATTTCGAGAGAAAATGTCTCTCTCGTCTCGTCGAGACGAGACGAGACGAAACGAGACGAGACGAGACGAGACGAGACGAGACGAGACGAGACGAGAGACGAGAATCTCTCGTCTCGCGGCATCACTAATTAAAGTTACTTTTAATTTATCTATAATTTAAATTTCTTTGTCACCCTCTCTAGATTTTTTTTATAACTGCAATTTTTCTTTAATTTCTTTGCTATTATTATCACCTCATCAACATTTTAAAAGATTTTGTTCCTTTATTTTCTTTAACTGTTTCTAAAATGTGATTTCTTTCTCAGGCCGATCTAGCCGCTCAACGAGCTCAACTCATAAAAACGCAGACCGAATGTGAAACCAAATTGGGAGAACCCAAGAACCTCATAAAAAAAATGGTACTAGGAGAAGATATAGGAGACAGGCAAAAAGCTGGCAAGATGGCGATTTGCATTAACCATGGTAAGGGTCACATGAATGAAGCTGGCGAACTGATACCAGATAAATTCAAAGCACATGTAGAAGAATTGGTCGAAGATGAAGACCAACGTAAGAAGATTATCGACACTTGTGGACAAATCAAGGGAAGTACACCTGAGGAAGGTGCTTTGAACTATATGAAATGTATGCAGGATAATTTACCACGCGCTACTGCCAAAGATTTCGATTGATTTCATTCATTATTTTGGATTGTTATAAAATAATAAAATAAAGATGTTTTTGTTTAAATTATGTTTTTTTTTTCATATCAGAAGTTAACTAAACAAAAATTGAACATTTATCATATATCGGATGTAAAAAAAGAGTGTAAAACATTGAAAGAGACAACAGTATGTAACAACATAAGCAAAACAGTTCTAATAAAATTTTGATTCTTTAAAAGTGACGTTTTAGAAAATATGGTAGGTTATTCCTTTTTTACTTTTTTTTGTAGTTGAATTAATAGAAATGTCAACAAACACTAGAATTCTATCTTTAATCTCATAAAGAACATTTACGTGAAGGGTCCAAATTATCAACCTTTAAATCACCAGTTGTTGCCAAATATTGAAGTAATTTAGGACTATTTATGACCATATTGGCTTAAATTAATTAATTATTGAAACAAGACTCAGAAAGGGCTCAAAGATTGCTCTTTAGGGTACTAAGATAAATTGATTTTGATCCTTTCAATTTACTAAGGGTGGATTTAAAGGATTGAGTTAGATATTTTTTTTTTGATAATATTGTTTTATAATTAAATAACTTTATACCAGGAAAATGTTAGTTTTTGTTTGAAATATTATTTTGTATATTGACTTAAGTCGTTATTTCCCATAATTATTAATAAATATTTTTGCCTGTTTATATCAATTTTAGATTGTACCGCTATTGACTAAAATAATATAATTGTAATGGTTGTTTTTTTTGTATAAGAAAGAATAATATTTGAGTATGTATTCTAAATTTGTTATTGATAATTTATTTTTTTTTTAAGTAGATACTTCAATTTTAATTTTAATGAAAATTTTAATACGTTTCTTAAGTTGTGCCGGTGTTGTTCCAAGGTAGCAACATAGTCTTTTTCCCCCAGTCTTTGTCAGCAAGCAGACCCTTTTCAAGTGATGATAAAGGTCTTAAAAAGAATGTCGTGTTAACCTTAGGCTCGAACTTCGAGAGTTTAAAACGTTAAAGATAAAAACAAACGAAATATCGAAAGTTCCGTTTTTATCTATTCCGGAAGTGTCTGTGCATTTAAATTGCCTAATTGAACTTCCTAAGTTCCAACTTCGATATCGTAATGGAAAAACAACCTTCGGTGTCGTTGGGAAGTTTCTCGCATGTAAATCCAAATCTAAAATGGTTTTTCTTTGTCATACAAAACGTGAACATTTTGGCTGTTTCAAGGGGACGGGTAACTGTTAAGAAAGAAAGTATTAAGTAAATTATTATTGTCTAAAATGTTAAACAAAAAAAGAAGTTTTAAGGAAATATTAGTATATAATTAACTATACATATTGGGATCTGAAGATAAGCGATACGCCCTCTACTGTGAACAAAATGTTGTGGCCTTTTGACACTTGACGGTCTGTGTTTTGTCAAGTTTTGTTTATTGTTTATCAGGTCATGTCAATAAATGTTATTTTAAAATTCAACAAGTATTTTGTTTGAAATATCTTATTTAATAATAAACTAATGCTTTAAATTTTTATTAAAATATTATATTATTTGGAATATAAGTGAAAAATACACTTGTGTGCCTTAATGCAGCCTTTGGAAATAAAAAAAAATGGACTCTTCTTTTACATTTCGTCTGCTTCCTAAAGTTGGTAAATGTAGGGTAATTTTTATGAAATGCAAGTGAAAATTCTGAATTTGTGGATGCAAGAAATCCATGATTACCTAAGTTGAAAATTAAGAAGCCAGTATCAAAGTATTTAAAAGTTTGTTCACATGCACAGCGTTTTAAAGCAGATGATTATTTGCCTAATGGTAATATAGATTTATTTTTCGATTAAATGTTCTTATTTTACCTCTTTTTGTATTGCAGATGCCTCACCCCAAGTGAAAATAAATATTAAAAAAAAATCGCTGTGCCTTCCTTTCAGTTTTTAAGTAAATGTTTGACGATTCTGTTCGATAAACTTCAAAATCAAATATTGAGAGAACAAAAAGAAGATCCAAACTAAATAAAGTTCAATCAGTGTTAAATCTGATAGTGAGAATAAACAAGTCATAGTTAAGAGTGATTTGTTTCAAGATAGCCTAGCTAATCACACCAAAGAAGACATAGAGGTTACAAATACTCTTCTTCTATGTTAAAGTGTTAGTCTCTTGTGTTTGTGCCTCATTCAGGTAAAGACCATTAATAGACAGATGAAAAGAAAGTGAAGAAGAGTAGGTCATTCGGTAAAGCATGAGCGATGACAAAGGTCACCTTATTTCGAATTAATTTATAAAAACTAATTAATAAAAGGTGTTAAAGTATATTACCTGAGTAATACTTTGCACTAATATAAATTTCATACTTTAAAACAAAGGTAAAAATATTCTCGAACCGGAGGCATTTTGTAATATTAAAAAAATTAGCTGCTCTTAACATTGGTAGCTCTTTCATCCTCTCTTTGTAAGAGCAACCTCTTCAATTTTTTTAAATATCAAGATGGGTCGTATCGTACTTTATTGAAAAGAAGATTTAAAAGCGAAATGAGGATCTGAATAAATAATAAAGATAATTTTATTTAAAAAAAAAAAAAAAAGCGTTATACAGGGTGCCTGTAAAAGGTCTTTACAAAAACATACCACATATTCCTTAGACCAAAATAAGTCGATTTAAGTAAAATTACCTTTGTACAAAGTTACTTCGTTTGAGCTCCAGAGGGCCTTGAAGTTACAATTTTTAAATCGTTTTTCCCATATAAATTTAAAACGGCATATGCGATTTTGCTGAAATTTGGTATATTGGTAGAGTTTTATGTGGCAAAAAAATGGTATTAAAATTTTGTCTGATAATAATACATAGGCGTAGAACTTGATTTTTTAAATAATTGCACCTTTAAAAATTCTACGCCAATGGAAGAAAAGGTGTTTGACTATGAAATTTAGATTGCGCAACTCATTTACTTTAAAAAAGGTACTCTAGATAAGACTCGATTACTTTCATGGTTTTGACGAAATTTGCATTTTAGTAATTTAAGAATATAAACAATAATTATTAAAATACAAATTTTGTCAAAACCATGAGAGTAAATCGAGTGTTATCAAGGGTACTTTTTTGTAGTAAATGAGTACCCAATCCAAATTTCATACTCAAACCCCTTTTCTGCCGTTGGCGCAGACTTTTTAAAGGTGCAATTATTTAAAAAATCAAGTTCTACGTCTATGTATTATTATCGGACAAAATTTTATACGATGAAAATCATAAAAATGTACTTTTTTCATATCTTCTTCAACACCTCTAATCGAGACTTTTAACAAAAATACTCGATTCTTGCCATGTACGATTTTTTGAGGAATATTAATTATTTGCCTGCAATACGTATACAAAAACATTTACTGTTGGTTTCCATAGTTTCATCTAAATAAAAATATTGTCAAGTTTTAACACCTAATCTCTTGTTAACGATTGAAAGTGTTCTATCTGACTCAATAATTAAAAAAACAAATGCGTGGTTTATTAATATGGCTGTACAATATACCAATGCAGAATATACCGATATGTTACTGACATTAGGATTTTGTGAAGGAAATGCTCGAGAGAGTGTCAGGGTGTACTCTGAAAGGTTTCCAAATCGTCGTGTACCTAGCCACCCAACTTTTGCTGCTGTTGAGAGACGTCTTCGGGAGACCGGTTCCTTTGCTCCCACCACTGTTGATAATGGAAGAGAACGTTTTGTAAGGATTCCTGAAGTTGAAGAAGACATTTTAGAACATGTTGAAGAAGATCCAGAATTAAGCACCAGACAAATTGGAAGGGAACTAGGAGTAAGTAAAGATATCGTTCATAAAGTGCTTAGAGAACAATTGCTATATCCATACCATAAGAAGCCAGTACAAGAATTATTAGTCCATGATCCTCAAATTCGTTTGGGTTTTTGTCGATTTGTTAATATGCAAAGATAAAGAGATCCAAACTTTGTCAAGAAGGTTCTCTTTACCGATGAAGCGGGTTTTACAAGAAGAGGTATAACTAATACCCATAATGAACATGTTTATGCCGTTGAAAATCCGCATGCAATAAAGGTAAACCATTTTCAGCATGAATTCAAAATTAATGTGTGGGCTGGAATAATTGGTAATTTCATTGTTGGTCCTGTCATTTTTACTTTCCTATCTGTATACAGATATAAGGAAAGTATAGGACTTTACGTTTTGAGGTCCCCTGAATCCGTTTTGACTATTTTCGCGATGATGTCTGTGTGTGTGTGTGTGTGTGTGTGTGTGTGTGTGTGTGTGTGTGTGTGTGTGTGTGTCTGTGTGTGTGTGTGTCTGTATAACGCATAACTCATGAACCGATACACAAAAAAACACCAAATTTTAAACTTAAGCTTTGTTTCAGCGTCCAATGAGCTGATTAGATTTTGGGCAGAGTCGGAACATCTGGGGGGGTACTTTATAGGTGGTCATTTTTATATTTTATGGAATATATCTGTTATTTACGTTTGGAGAAGAAAACTCTTTAAATAAAAGTTACTTCTAATATAATTATCTATAATTTTTGTTTTATGCAAAATTTTCCTAAAATGGTCCGTATTCGAGAAATTTGACAAAATGTTAAAAAAATAATTTTTTATAAAAATTGTTCAAATAAAAGTTGTTTGTAATATAATTCTCTATAATTTTTGTCCTATACATAATTTCTCTAAAATGGACCGTATTCGAGATATTTGAGAAAATGTGTAAATTTCGTAATTTGAAGAAAACTCAAAAACGGATAAAGGAAAAAACATTAAATTTTAAACTTAAGGTTTATTTCGGCCTGACGTGAAATGATTAGATTTTGGACAAAGTCGGAACATCTGGGGGGGTACTTTATGGGAGGCCGCTTTTATATTTTATGGAATATATCTGTTATTTATGTTTGGAGAAGAAAATTGTTCAAATAAAAGTTACTTCTAATATTTTTATCTATAATTTTTGCTTTATATCAAAATTTTCTGAAATGGTCCGTATTCGAGAAATTTGACAAAATGTGCAAAATTCTGATTTTTATGAAAATTGTTGAACTAAAAGTTGTTTGCGATATCGAT